TCAGTATTCGTTCCTTGATTTTGTTTTCACTTTGCCACTGGCTGTATTATTAATTTTTATCGTGTTTTCGAGGCGACGGTCGTCCTCCCATTCAGTATTCCTGATTGAGTAATACTTGTTTTCGACGATCCCAAGTTCTAAAGGCGGTACATCTACGGATGTGCTTTTTGTGGACCTTGCAGACGCTCATTGCTAAGCCTGGGATCGGACCCTCTGTCCTGCGGACGCCCGTCTCCCACCTTTAGGGTAACGCTAAACTGCCCCCCCCCCCCCACTGGCACGGGGATCGAAACGTTATGCCCGCCGCGGGGTCCACTGATCATGGGTTGCCACGTGTTCCACCCTGATTGGGTAAACCCTGCGATGTTGCTTATAAGTACTTCATTTCCCCAAGAATCAGTCATTCCTTTCCTCTTTGGTTGTTAGTCAATTTGTTTCCTCTCTCTAGGCTCTCTTAATTATCAGTAAGTTCCCCGTCTAGCCTCCATCCGTTGTCATGTCTAATAAGCTAGGATCCTTGGGTTCTTAGAAGCCCGAAACCATGGATATTATCCCAAGTGCCCGGGTCAGCCCGACGTCCACATCCCATTATCACAACAGGGTCACGCCGTTAAAACATATGATAAAGACGGTTAATAGTAACTCTTATTTTCAAAAGTGTTCGGTAAATTAAAAGAAAACACCAAAAGGTGCGCTCCGTCAAGATGACCTCCACACCACCTTCGCCTTTGAATTTTTCGGATCTGCTTGAATTATTATTTAAAAATGATTTTGCTAATATCACTTTTACGGTAGACTTTTTGTGACTTGGGTGGCTGGAAACAAAAAAGAAAGATGGCCTAGCGGTCGTCTTGTTGAGGTACACCTTCCGGTTTTTTTCTTTAATTTTTCGGGTACTTTTGAAAATCGGAGTTACTATTAACCGTCTTTCTCAGCGTTTTTAACGGCGTAACCTTCTTGTGATAACGGAATTCAAACACATGAACCACTTTGATAAAAAATGAAACACATGACCATATTTGAAAATAAGCCCAACCACAAATACATTTTCTGTACTTTTCCCAAAAAGATATACGGAGTGCCATTTAATTATGAAAATGACACAAATATTACCTGCCATCTTTTATCAGACAAAAATATGACTAGATTAGGTTTTGACAAAAAAGTGATCCGTTGCTTCTTCTAAAAAATGTCGTCTCTTCACTTTTGTTCATTTCCACTTCTATGCCTCCCTCTTCCGTCTGAACCAGAGCTCACTCACAAGGAGGAAGGTCATTCAACGGCAAACCAGCACGTCAACTCCGGCGAATGGCGGCGACGTCCAACGGCAGCGGCTTTGACTACGATGGCGATGACACCTCGCCCCTGTCGCTCCTTTCTCCGCCGCCTTGTCCGATCTCCGCCATCGTCGTCAGCTACAATCGTTTGATCTTCTCCTCCTCCTTTATTCTGTCCGGTCTCCGCCCTAGAGGAAGTTGCAATATCATTGTGCCGCTCCACCCCCGTTGCAGGTGAGCAGAAGCTGGGGACAGAACTATACTGTGGTGGTTGGGGTCTATTCTAAGCTAGATCGGAGCTGGTCGGGGCTAGATCAGGGCGGTTGGGGTCCGGTTAGGGCTAGATCTGCGCTTGTCGGGGCTAGATCAGGGCTGTTGGGGTTTGATCAACGCTAGATCGAGGCTAGTCGAAGCTGGGCTGAGGGCAGGGGAGGTGTGTTGGGGGTTGAGGTGCTGAGGCGTGGGGCTAGGGAGGGGGAAGGGCTATGTACGATGGAGGTGATGGCAGGGTGGCAGTGCTTGGGGGCGGCAGTGACGGTGGCGGGCAGATTTGAGTGAGACCTATGACCTATGTCACGGCCCGGTCGGTGTCACTTTGGTCAGTGTAACTGTGACCAGTGTCACTGTGGCCGGCGATAGCTTCCAGGCGGCGATGGCGGCACTGCGGTGTTGTCACTGTGTTGATGTCACTATGGCGGCGTCACTGTGGTGAGGTCACTATCGCTAGCGGCAATCTTCGACCGACAGTGGTGCAGTGGTGAATGTCACTGTAGCACGTCACTGTAGCACACTACCATATCCTTTCCAAATATGTGACCTTCTTAGTCACATTTTTGTCCATTTTTAAAAGTGGTCACATTTTTGGAAATCAACTTAAATTTAGTAATATTGAGAGAATAACCCCTTTAAATATTATGTTTGGGCTTGTGTGCCTCTATACAAACCCTTTAATGTTTATTAATTAATTGTTTGATTCATATATGTTGTATGTGAACTTGGTATGTATGATACATAAAGCCTTTGTAAAAATCAGTAAATGTAAATTGTGCTTACCCTTATGCCTTAGATGTTATGCGCGATTGCCGATGTGAAACGGGGTCGGAGCATGGCAATTTAACTTCAAAAAATCTGTTTGTACCCAGTTTTATACCTCCCTATTTTTTTTGTGCACACAGGCAATTCGTTAAGAAGAAAACATCATTTATATCCTAATTGCCTGTGTACACAAACAAAATAAGACAAAATAGGGGATGAAGTACAAATGTGAATACAATAAGGACTCATTTAACTTTGCCAAATTTCGATACTAGGAAGGGTCTATAATCCTAGCTAAAGACCCATATATCCTTCACATATTATTTACTCGGTCATGACTCGTATCCCCCGTGAACTACTTACTACACATGCTTTAAAACATTCATCCGAGATCTAGGAGATTGCTCTTCTAGATAAAATTAGTACTTCCAAAATACGTAAGGGATTTGAGTTAACTAGTCGGTGCTTAAGATCGAAGCTAAACATTAAGCAATATAATCCACCTGCCAATGACCACTTGCCAATTCTTGGAGTCGCTAACTCACTAATAACCAACATAATTAAAACAGAAGTATTTCAACTAATAGCTATATAGAACGTTTCCATCTAAAAGGCGTTACTTCTTTTATGTCAAAGTCTGATTAACCTTAAAAAGTTGTGACCTCTTAGAGAGGTTTCTTTTTTTTAGCGAGGAAAAAGGGGTATTATTGATAAAACAAGTTAGAATTACAATCATTTTTCAGTAAAATAATGACATATGCACACGGCCGATCCTAAGAGTTTTTTGGTCTGAGTCGAGCTGTAAGAAAAGATCCTCAAAAATTTTGGGGAGGAAAGTTCATGTCCGGAATTCCGGAGAGGAACCGCCATCTGGACGGCGGCGTTTGGCCGCTTTCCCGGTGGAATTTTTTGATTAAATTTTTATCATGTTTTTCATCAAGTCTAGTTTATCCACAAAAAATGTCAGCTAAAAATTCATCGGGAAGGCCGTCAAATGGTTTTTTAAAGATAACTGAGCCAAAATATATACAATAAACGAAGTTAAATTCCAAAAATTATTTAACGGTCTTCCCGATTGAATTTTAAGCTGAATTTGTTTGTGGATAAACTAGACTTGATAAGGAACATGGCATAAAAATTTCATCAAAAAAATTCACAGAAAAGGCGGCCAAAGGCGGTATTTCCTGTCCGAAATTCCGGACATAAACTGTCCTCTATATAAAGGTAACTAATAAATTTTTGGGGCCCTAATGTTTTTCCCCAAATTTGTGGGCCTGAGCCAGTTGCCTCTTTGCCTCACGTAGAGGTTCGGCCCTGCATATGCACTTTAATTTGAGTTAATTATCAAAATAGGACTAAAAGTCATTCACTTTTCACAAATAGGACCAAAAAATGAACTATGTTTACATATGACTGATTATGTGTACCTTGGACAATTATACCCTTATAGCTATTAAAATGTTTTAATTCCTAATAAAATAATAAAAAATAATAAAAATTCGTAAAAAATACTAAAAAATTAAGAAAAACATTTCGATATTAAAAATTTAATTAATTTTTTTTTTCAAAAAATTAAAAAAATTAAAAAAATTAAAAAAAAAAAATCAAAAAAAAATCGCCGCCGCCTCTGCCGCCTCAGCACCACCACCTCCAGTCACCAGGGGAAAAAAATGTCAAGTTCATTATGAATGCCATATTTATGGCAGAAAAAAATGAAAATGTTGGCATTCGAAAAGAGAAATATGCCATTTTTTTGGCATTTTCAGAAAAAAATGGCATTTTTCTGGGAAAATGGCATTTTTTTCATCGGCCGGAGGTGGTGGTGCTGGGAGGTAGTACAGGCGGTGGGAAAGGCATCCATATTTTTTAAAATTTTTTTTACGTAGTTTTACTATTTTTTATTATTTTTTTTAAAAATAAAATTATTTAAAAAAATTTGAATTTTTTATTTTATAAAAATTTTATAAATTTTTTAATTATATTTCTACGAATTTTTGAATTTTTTTCGAATTTATTATGAATTAAACATTTAATTATGGCTTTTGACTATTTTTAATTCATATTTAATGGAAGGGTAAGAATGGAATGCAAAAATAGGTATGTTTCCAATAGGACTCATATGGTCCTATTTTGGAATAAAAACATAGTAAATCCTATTTTAGGTTTTTGCCATAATTTTAGTCCTATTTGAACTAATTTCTACTTTAATTTTCATGTTCCTATTAATCTATCACATTAATAGGAAGTCAAATATGTGATTTGTTCTCTCACATTGCCACATGTAGCTACTTTATTATGTGTTGGATATGTATCTCATATAAAGTAATAAAACACCTCATTTGTGTTGATTTGGAAGTCAAATATGTGATTTGTTTTTGAATAAATAAAATGCAAATAATCAAGAAATAAAAAATTACACATTCCATTAGCAAGAATCATTAAAAATGTTAATTATTACTCTTGATTGTATTGAATTACACAGTAAGGAGTAGTAATAAATAAACTATATGCAACACATTTTACCGAGTAGTTCAGTTGGATGAGTGATGAAAAAATTAGAGGAATGATCAAAATTCAAAATCGGCAACGATCGTGTGAAGGTTACAACACCTGCGTGCCGGACGGAATTTCTGGTGCGTAGAAATATAAAAGTCTAGAAATCATTAAACTGATTGAGTCAGGTTGATTTATTCGGAGTATATTTCAATTGTGTTGTTGGTCGGGGTGTGGAGATCGGAGGAAACTATATTCAACACGTCTCAAAATGTGTAGTCAAGAAAGCCATATATCGGATAAAAGAAGGTCCAAAATACTGTGACCTCACCTCGAATGACTCTATTTTCGGGGACAAAAAGTGCAACCGAAGTCCGAAACCCAATTGCAATTTTGCAACAATCCAATTCCAATTATCAATTTCAATTTACTTTTATTGGGATGGGAATATTGGATTAGTTTTTTTCTTCAATTTCATTGTTTCTTTCTTGCAATGGTTGGCGGTAACAGACTGTTGCTTCTAGTTGCCGTCTTCTGTAGACGGCATTAGCAGCATTTCCTTTCCTTTGGTGCGCTTTACTGGAGCCTCGAACTGGTACGTTTTCCACTCTTTTTGCTATATCAGGAAGGGATGTTTCTCTTGTTTTCTATCCCCATATCGTTTTCTTGAAATTTCTCCGTATTATTTTTCCTTCTTTTAATATTGCCTATACTCTGACAGGTTATAGTGTTCTACATCATAATCATCGAAGTATAAGATCATAGTCTTACCGTTTTCTCTCGCACCAAATTCACTTCAATTTGTCGAAATTTCACATTTATATCCAGTATTTACCAGGATCCTCTCCAACTCTGATACAAGTAAGTGCGGGCTCTCTTGCTTTACTTTTTCTCATATTTAGGGATTCATTTTCCTGAATTTTCAGCACAGGTAAGACTTTTTTTTTGCGGCGGCTACTGCTGCTTTTCCTGTTTCAGATAAAATCCAGCCACAGGAGATTCATGTGTGACTTTAATTTTTCTCTGATTATGTTTTCTGTTTGAAAGGGAAATAGGGTTAGCTCAGTACGTTGAATTCATAATTTGCTTTATGTGTTTGACTTTTTTTATGCATAAAGTTCTTTTTGTGCTGGTTATTGATTCGATGCAGTAAAATTGGTATCTATTTTCCCATCTTCATCAAGGAATTTTGAGCATGTTTTAATTTTCTTTAAATTATGTGTTGGGTGATCCTTATCTGTTGATGAGCTTGATGGTTGTTGTCATCTTTGGCCAGATATGGCTGGGAAGGTTATGGGACATCAATCAAAATCTTTCCTTGGCTTTGAGATTGTTGAGGGTGAATCTGATGGCCCATCGGTTGATCCCTCGTTGAACATCAAACTTCGTCATAGAATTGGAAGGGGTGTGTTTGGTGATGTTTGGTTAGGGACTCATAAGCAAAGTGATGGGGATCATGAAGTAGCTGTTAAGATTTTGCATCCCTTAAACAGGGATGATATGAATGTTGTACGGAATCGGCTGGAAAATTTGTTTGCTCAATGTAAGGACCTGGAAAATGTTTTCCATACTCAAGGGGTATACGTCATCAGTGGGAGGGTGAGTATGACTGTAAAATATTAGTGTTGGAAATTTAATTTTTCAATCCTAAACTTTGATTCTTTCAGTTATGCATAATTATGAAGTTCTATGAAGGCTCAGTTGGTGACAAAATGGCTCACATGAAAGGGGGGAAGCTACCCTGGAAGGATGTTATAAGGTGATATTCGATTTATATAGTAACAAGTAACAACATTAGTTTTCTAAGAGATGGGGCGCATCCATACTACCCTTATTCATTCGAGTGTTTCTATTGCTTTTTGGAAGCACTTTTATGCTTTTTGGTTTAACAAATACTCAAACTTTACTTTTTAAAAATTACTTTTATTTTCAAACACTTCCCGTTTTTATCATTAAACACTTTCTATATAATAAATCTTTAAAATAAATCACTTTTTAAAAGCACAAGCAAATGCAAACATTGCCTCATTCATTTTTGTTTTACTTACAGGTACGGGACTGAACTTGCACAAGGAATCATGAAGCTGCATTCAAAGGGTTTTTTCGTCCTAAACCTCAAGCCATGTAACTTCCTTTTGAACGAGAAAGATCAGGCAGTTTTGGGAGATATGGGAATTTCTTATATGCTGCGGGGAGTGTCTTTGTTTGGTTCTGATAGGTCTCGAAGACTCGGGACCCCAAACTACATGGCCCCAGAACAGTGGGAACCAGAAATAAGAGGTCCCATATCTTTTGAGACAGACTCATGGGGGTTTGGTTGCAGTATTGTGGAGATGTTGACTGGTGTTCAGCCTTGGGTTGGTAAGTCAGTTGAGGAAATACATAAATATGTGGTTCTGAGACAAGAGAAACCCTATATTCCTGCTGGTCTCCCTCCTGCAGTTGAAAATGTCCTTGTTGGCTGTTTTGAGTGGGATTTGAGAAACCGTCCTCTCATGGAAGACATATTGCTTGCATTTAGAAGGTATGCATTTCATACTAGATTCAAACTGAACACATCATGAAGGTAAAAAGGGCAAGGTTTATGAGGTGCCTTATATGGAAGGTGAATGCAGTCAGATCATAGTATTGTTGACCCCTGTTTTGACATATTTTTAACCAAACTCTCTTTCCCTTGAGTAACACTTTGATGTGATACCATTTTAAGCTTTCTTTTCTTGCTTTTGTATTCTTACTTTTTGACAATGCTTTCACTTTTGCGTTATGTAAATGATAAATTGGCATATATACCTCATAGTTGTTGTTTGATTTTCATCATGTTTGTTGTTTTATTAAGCAAGCCTTTATTAGTAAGACCAAATAAACAAGCTGCTGTCATAATTGTTGTACTTTATCGGATCATAGTACTATATTGATATATTGACTTGTTCTTTGTCATTATTGTTATTGAGAGTTGGGGTTCTATATTAAGACTTGAGGATTCATTCTAAAAATCAACCTTATTAAAAAAGTAGTCCAAAGCTTTATATTGAGTTCAACCTAATAAAAAACTAGTCCAAAGCTTTGTATTTAATTTTACATCTTTATAGTTTAACCAATGTAGACGGTAGAGTGTCGTAACAGTTGCTAGACTATCTTTTTCACAGTAGTAATATACGCATTAGCTATTTCACTCATAATAGTCACTTAAGGAATGTCTATTTCTGTATTCACCACTAACAGCGATTTCTCCTGATATTTAGCAGCTCACAGAATGCCACTGATAGTGATGGAGACTGGACTGATCTTGGGAATGCAATAACTTTGGGAAACTCTAAATCTGTAAGATATAGTGAGTGGTTTCTGCTGAAGGACCAGCTTCAAATGGGAGACGTGGTCCGGTCCAGAAAACCTCCAAATTCATGCAAACCTGAAAGTATGGAGGTTCCGGAAGGCACCATAGTAGGAATGCAGAATGAGACTGACAGAAACGGATTTGTTTTGGTAAGGGTACATGGGATGCATGACCCATTAAGAACTCACCGATCCACGCTGGAGCGAGTCAGTTTCGGTTATTCAGTCGGGGATTGGGTGCGCCTGAAGGAGCATCACGGAAAGAATCATTCACCTGTGGGTATTCTTCACCGCATCGATAGGGGTGGTGATGTCACTGTGGCGTTCATAGGACTGGACACTTTCTGGACGGGTGTGTACACAGAACTTCAGATGTCAGAAGCTTATTGTGTTGGCCAATTTGTAAAGGTGAAGTCCGACGTCTTTAGCCCCCGGTTTGAATGGCCACCCAGGAAGAGAGGCTGTGAGTGGGCCGCAGGCAGGATTTGCAAAGTGCTGCCGAATGGTTGTCTTGCAGTTGATTTTCCGGGCAGGTTGACATTCGGGGAGGAAGGTAACAGCTTCTTGGCTGATCCAGCTGAGGTTGAACTTGTTTCTTTTACTACTTGTCCGGGCATCGTTAAAAAATACCAACACCTTGAGGATTTTCACTGGGCCATAAGACCAATCGTTATTGCATTGGGCTTATTCACAGCCATGAAGATGGGGCTTTTTGTTGGGAAGAAGGTTGGGGGATCAAAGTGTAGGATTCGATGCAATGCTGCAAAACAACAAGGTGGGCCTCAACCTGGAGAAGGAAAGACAGCAGGCACTGCATGGCTACCTCCAAAGATGGCTAACGTTATCTTCAGAGACGGTGCTGGGCCCACAACTTCTCGGTAGTCCGTCTCAAGATGAATGTGGGTAGTGAAGGTCCAGGTTTGTGCATTGAATATGAACTTATCCTAGTAGCGCTATTTAGGGGTGAAGTATGCTGTAAATTATTAATACAGGTAGTTATATATGCTTTCTCTTGCCACTAGCTATATGTCTCCGGTTCACACTGAAATAACAAACTTCCTAGACACTAGACCCAGCTTCTTGAGCTATCTCCATGACATTATCTGATTTATCTCAGAGACTCAGACCTTTGTAAATATGGGGTGATTGAATTCCAGCTTTGAATACTAGTCCCACTACTTTGTGTTCCTGATCGACCTAATAAATGTCACCACTTCTATGCAATGCCTATATAAAACTTTGAACAGTTATGATTATGTTCAATTTTAAAATGTAATTTAAGTCACATTTTTGTTCATAACTTTTAGTTAGTATTTATGTATTCGGTATTCCATAATATTTTAGTAAAACCTCATATTTGCCTATATTAAAAACCTATCATGCACAAAAAACCTATCATAACCTATCATCACATTTGTTATGAATGGGTATAGTTTTATTTCTTTTTTATGGATTTGGATTCGGATACTTCTGAAATCATATAAAAACCCAGCTCTGGGATATTCAATTCGAGAAATGACTAAACTTGTACCGTTTTATAAGTATCTGATTTTACATAAATATAAATATGTAAGTAATTTTCATTTGTAATCGTTGAATTTAGAAGTTGAGCTTTACACTTACATTGGAACAATTATGTATACACAAGGTGAAGGTTAATGGGGTTTATCACCCTTTTCATGTTTAGAAGTTTAAAAAATTGGAGAGCATGATTTTGGAGGACTTTTGTATCTCTTCAAAACCCTCCAATTTCTCAATTTTAAGTTCCCCCAATTTGGAGGGTTTTGGGAGATAATTAACAAGATGATAATTTAAGCTAAAGTAAAAATGAATATCAGCTCAATGATTTAAATTCGTCATATTTCAAAGTGATTTTTAATTAGAATTCCTTCAAAAAAAAATCTCCTTCCAATTTTATTACTTCCAAATATGAAGAAGGGTTTCATCACCTTCTCCTCCATTTGTCCTCTTACAACATACCTTTAAAGTCTCCCTCTCTCATTCCTTCCAAACTCTCAAATATACCCTTAGAGTACTCCCGTATTCTTCCTTGTTCACGTAAACCGTCTGCCTAGTCCCTGTACTCTAGTTTGATGCTTTATACGGAGTATTTCTTTATTTACTTGAGAGTTGGATGTGTACCACTTTTCATGGTTAATTTAATTTTTTTTTTGTTTAATAAATGATTAATACTAAATGTCTACTAATTCAAAACATTTTTATATCATTAGTTACAAATTTGAAAAAGCTCAGTCTTTCCTTAACTCATTTTACTCATCTTTTTTTGGAAGCAGGTGGCTTATATTAATAAAAGAGAACGCAAACAGAGTACAAACTGACAAAGAATCCAATGTCCACTGTCTGCCCTTGAACCAGACTTAGAATCTGTCACCTCTAATGAAGCAACCAGATTCGCTAATCCTGAATTGGGCTTACTTGAGCCAATAACTAGTAAACTAAGTTCACCATCCCTTGTCCTATGTTCTAGAGTCTTGATAAAACAAACGGCAACAACAACCAAAAGCACGCGATGTCCAGTGCAAATAACAATAAAAACAAAAACATAATTAAAAGTAATAGAAACTTTAAATCTCTATGTGATCCATAGCTTCACAGATTTTGGCGGGTCTGGGAATTCCAACCCGCCTCCATCCTATTTTTTGGATCTTCAAGAACCATGGCATCCTCTCTTGGCTGCTTCAGCTCTTGTTCCTTAGCTTCTCATGTCCGCCTCCTCTTTTGTTCTCTGATTCAATTATTAGTAACCATTGCTTCCACAATCTTAGAGGCATCTCTATCTTCCTGTTTTTGATTACCCAGACTGTGATGTCTCTGATTCTGACTGCCAATGGTGTTTATATGTGTTCCTTCTTGGTCTCGTCCTATCCCTTTCTCAGCTACTAGCCATTTATTGCCAATAGTTGGGCGGGACCTCCCTCCTCCCGCCCGAAGCCATGAGCCATAGAGTCGCACAGACTCTCTGTCGCCTTTATCATACAGAGATGGACAGAATTTCTCAGCATGTCCAATGACACCACAAGCAAAGCAGAAACTAGGTAGTTTTTCATATTTGAAATCTACCCAATACCCTTCTCCTCTACTCTTTTTCAAAATGGTACCCACTTTTAAAGGTCTCCTCACATCCAGTGTAACCCTGATTCTCATATAGGCTTCCCATTTTTCATCAAACTGTCTATCATCCCAGGATAAAAAATTTCCCAGGTAGTTCCCTATCTTATGAGCATATCCCGGGTTTGAAAAGCCATACGGAATATTATGAACCTGAATCCAAAAGTAAGCCGTATCTAGAGGTGTTTTCTGAGGTATATCACACTGTTTAATAGCTTTTAACACTAGCAAGTTCTGGTTGAACAACCAAGGACCATTATCCAGCACACGATTCATATCAATTTTGTGGTAAAAAGTAAATAAATACTTCTTTTCCCCAATCTCCTGAATCAACACTCCTTTACCAGGGCACCAGAGAGACGCCATTAGATCACGAAAAATTAAGAATTTTATCACTTTGTCGGTGAGAATCGTACTGACCACGGGGAAATCCTCCACGCCCTTATTCGTCGCGTCGGGGTCTTCTTCCTTGATGTCCTCATCGTCCAGTAGCAGCTCATCCCCTGTGCTCCCTATCCCCAAGCCGTCGTATTAGGCGGTTAGCCTATCCACGCTTTTCCCTGCAACTGCCGCAGTCGAAACCTCCCCTTCCTCTTCGGAAGCTTCCTTCATCGCCTGAGAGACTTCTCCGCCTTCCCCCCTGAACGTCCGTCCGACCCGCCGAGCTCCTTGGTGCCGATATGCTTGCCATCCTTCTCTGCTGTATCCGCACTCTTGCGGCGGAAGTTCTCAAACCCTACCAGAGGGACTAGGCCACTTTCCTCATTTAACTTATCTATATCAATTAAATTAGCAATATACTCCATACACAAAATACTTTAAAATTGTATATATGTGTGTTTTAATGTAATGTTTCTCCACTCAACACAAATATTTGAAATAAACACACGTTAAAAAAATTCTATGAAGTATATGATGAAACTTGGCGTGTAAAAATTTGAAAGAGTTAGTCCAGTTCATTAAATTAGAAATTATATATATTGATTTTACCCATGTACTTTTATGTCAATTTACATGTAATCAGCTAACAATAAACTGACATTTTACGAAAACGCCTTTTGATAAACAGCTAACACAATAGGCTGGTCAAAACTACCAATATTATCAGTTGTCTTCTATCGGTCATTATAATCAGCTATCGACTAACCGCTATCATCCAATTGCCAAACAACCCCATGTTTGTCGCCTAATCATATAGATATGACTCATTTGAGTGTGTCATATCGGCAGGACCATATCGACATATTGTAGAAACCGGATCCAAACCTAGTCAAAATGATATTCACGCTGATTCACAGTTATGCAGTCAATTTTTTTTAGTTTCAATTCAGTTCCATTTACAGTTATGAACAGGATTGAAACAGTTTTGCTCCAATATTTGCTATCGACGCTAATGATACTTAACAAAAAAATAGAAATCAATTTTGCAGTCCGATTCGGATTTTGAACTAGTTAAATTGGTTCTTTTCCTGATAACAATAGAGTTTTTCCGAATCATTTTTTTGTTTCTATGTTTTACAAATCGAGCTCTGGTCCATTTTGATCTGATATTGTCCAGTTATGACTCACTGCACAATCGTACTCACTACTTGCATGGCTCAATCAAAAGAATGAATTGAAGATTAAATTTCAAACACAAGTAGTTAGTATGATTCTCACGCCAACTCACACTATCTTTCAAATGTTAAAAGTTGGAACTTGTTGATAATTACATACTACATAGTATATATATATAAGGAAAACAGTTAAATAATTCTTCATAATATATTAATATGATTAAAATGACTAAAATGATTAAAATGTCAATTGAATCCTTGCATTATTGTATAATCCAATCAACCCTGCACTTAAAAAACAACTAGCTAGTAAGCTACTAGTTCTCCCGTTTGTGTATTGTTGGCTAGAAAAGTAGAAATTGGACCTTATTACTCGTACCATTTAAAAAGAAATATCGCTACGCTAGCAAAGTAACTAGTAAGTAATAAAATTCTCAAATTAAAACAAATGCTAATGTCACTACAATATAGTAAAGATTCAAAATACAATTCAAAATAAAACTTTAAATTAGTTGGCAAATATCTAAACAAAAATGTAGAAATTCAATAGCACACAATCACATGAATTAAATAGTACAAAATTTTGAAATGTAGACAATTAGACATGGCCACCTTAACACGTATAAGTCCCAAATATAGAGTTTGCAATTGCAGTGCTTAATATTTTAAGTTAAATGACATCATAATGATTTATTTATTATACTTAATTATGTAAAATGGAAATTGATAAAACGTGTGCAATTTTGGAATATGGCTAAACTTTAATTTTTCCTTAAAGAATTAGAAAAAAGTGACATTGTTTTTTATTTCTATGGTATAGTGGTGCAAATTAGTCGAGTTGAATTGGAACATTGGTATGCTTGAATTTGTGCTTGATAAGATTTCATGAGCTTGAACTTGAGCTCAAGTTTGGACGAGCTAAACAATTCATGCTTGAACTCGAGCCAAGCTTGGACGAGCTCGGGTCAAGTCGAGCTTGAATATCACGTACTTGAGCTGGGAGTGATCTACGAGTAACTTACGCACGACTTAACGCATTACACCTCTAGTGTCGTATGATACTGTGTCATTTGAAAACGAAAGATCATCGAACGAGTTTAAATATAAGATCTAATCAAATCATTACGGGATATAGCGGGTATAGGTACAACAACAATGCTTGGGGTACACAAGTTGTACACAACTTGTACACAAAATGTCGGTCACAGACAATTGGTACGAAATTGTCTGTGGACACAGACAAGAGTTGTCTGTGTACACAGACAACTTTTGTTTGTGTCCACAGACATTTACTTTTTTGTAAAAAGTATACTGACAGCCGTCTGACACTGACACCAGCTTGCAAATCAATCAATATATGTACACTGCCTGTGTGCACAGACAATATTTTCATGTTGCACAGACAATTATTTGTTTGTATGCACAGACAATTTTTACCACACAGACAATAGTTGTGCGTCTCACAGACAATAGTTGTCTATGTGATCAACTTTAGTTGTGGATGTGATCAATTTCAATTGTCTGAGTGAACAAAAAATTTAATTGTCTATATATATTTAAATGAATGATGTAGTTGTATGTGTGATAAATTTACATA